TTATCTTTTGTTATTGTTAAACATTGAATATGATCTAAAACATCCATAAAATACAGGAACCGCAGCCGTAGACCAGATCTAACATTATCAGACCCCCCAAACCCGATTCTGGAAGCACTGACCTCAAACTGAAACCCTCTTCTGTTCGGGAAAATTAAAAATTGAAACTTAAATTCTCCTTTGTACCATGAAATGAAATGTTATATGTTGTCAGTTGTGATTTAAATCGTGATCTTCTGCCCTCCGCAGTACACGGTGACGGAGCCCAGGAAACAGGCCTACGCTGACTTCTACAAGCAGTACGACGCCGTCAAAGAGTTCAACGCCATGAGGGAAGCCGGCGTCTTCGAGAGCGTGCGGCCATCTGGGGAGTAAACCCACTGTGAGTCACACATCACAATAACATCTGTTAAACTTAGAAAAGATGAGATTAAAGACTGAAACATGAACAACTGTACAGCCCCTCAGTGTCTTTATGTTTTCTTCCTCCAGCTCTTCTTCCCTGACGTTCATTCCTGGTCTGAGGATGAAGTTCCTTCCTGCTCCTTGATGTTATTTACTGGTTAGATGTGAACATCGCTATGCTGTTTTGTTCCTCTAAATAAAATATTCTATTAATGTATGAGCTGCCTGTGTCTGTCCTGTGATAAATCATCTGGTTTTAATCCAATATTGGGTCTATTAGGTGTTACTGACAACTGATTATTTACCTTTTTAATGTTTTATCTTTAAAGAAAACTGAACCTATTGTGGTTGGGAGAGGAGGAACATACAGGCTGTGTGGTACTGTGATGTACTGTGTCCTAATTTCATACAGCAAATTAATAGTAAACAGTAGATTCTGATTTTTCAAGTATGTTTTTTTCCAGTTAGTACTCAGGTAACATTATATACAAGTCATATATTTATCTTAACATACACTAATATATGTCTGTGATATAAAATACTGTGGACAGGCAACAATAAAACAATAAAGTTTACCAGAGATATTTCTGTATTCATGCTTCATAGCTTTTGGAGTCACAGTATTAAGAGTAGAGATATAAAAACTCCTTTCATCCTCCTCCAGGTGTAATATATTAGTGATTATTGGAACTGGGACGCAGCACTGGATAGTTGATATATACAATAAATAAATTACACAAACTGTACCTTTAGAAAACCACAACCAGTTACACTTAAAACAGAAAGTTTTACTACTTAATAATAGTGTTTTAATAAATGTCTGGGGCCTCTACTGAATCACAATTCTGCTAATGAAATTAAACAAGATAAAAAAGGATATTTATGTAAAGCCAAAATTATGATATAAGTCATAAAGTGATAAAAAGTCACAATTATAAGATAAAAATATATATATATTTTTAAGTCACAATTATGATGAATTATTTAGTCGTATTTTATTTTTATTTTTTTTTACCCAAAAAAGTGTTTCTAATATTGTAAACATGTTATTATTATATTATTATTATATTATATTATTATTATTATTATATTATATTATTATTATTATTGTTATATTATTATTATTATTATAATTATTATATTATTATTATTATATTATTATATTATTATTATTATTATTATTATTATTATTATTATTATTATTATTTTATTATTATTATATTATTATTATATTATATATTATTATTATTATTATATTATATTATATTATTATTATTATTATATTATTATTATTATTATATTATATTATATTATTATTATTATTATATTATTATTATTATTATTATTATATTATATTATTATTATTATTGTTATATTATATTATTATTATTGTTATATTATATTATTATTATTGTTATATTATATTATATTATTATTATTATATTATTATTTTATTATTGTTATATTATATTATTATTATTATATTATTATTTTATTATTGTTATATTATATTATTATTATTATATTATTATTATTATTGTTGTTATATTATTATTATATTATATTTTATTATTATTATTATTATTATTATTATTATTATTATTATTATATTATATTATTATTATATTATATATTATTATTATTATTATTATTATTATTGTTATATTATATTATTATTATTATTATTATTATAATTATTGTTATATTATATTACATGACCACCGACTGCCGGCTGTAACAGTGTGTGTAGCGCCCCCTCCAGTTGAGTCCGGGTACTGCAGCCTTTGTTCGTCCCGCCCCTTCCCGCCCCTCCCGCCCCCTCCCGCCCCTCCCGCACCGCCCGCCCCTTCCCGCCCCCTCCCCGCCGCTCTTCCTGGTGGTTGTGTTGTTGTGTCTCGGCCGCTGGATGTCACAGTCAGAACCGGACGGTTCGTCGAACAAGTCGGAAGTGGTCCCGACCCGAGAGGAGGATGAACCCAGCGGGCAGCCTACGGCAGCCGGGAGAACCGAGTGACCTTCGCTTTATAGAATGATACACAGCCGTTAGCAGGGACGCTAACACACCACCGACGGGCTAGCTGCTCCGCTAGCTGCTCCGCTAGCAGGCGGTCTGTCTGTCTGTCTGTCTGTCTGTCTGTCTCTATCAGCTTTCTGTCTGTCGGTTGTTCACGTTGACCAGCGTCGGTCCACTTTCACCAACAGACGATCTAAAATAAGATAAAGTCAACCGACGAGGACAACATGGAGAACAAGGACAAGGTCCAGATGAGGAATCACCCTCGCAGGTAACGAGATGCTAGTGTTGCTATTATCGGACATCCTCATTGATTGTTTGAGGCTGTTCCTCAGAGCTTCCGTAGTCCTAAAGTTATTAACACAACTTATAATATATATATATATAATCTTATATTCTTTATTTTCTGTGAATAAAAGGTTTATTTATATAATATATATATATATTGTTTTTATTGATTAACATTTAAAAAAAAGAACCCAATAACAACAGCTCAGTGTTATATTATAAATATATATTATATAAATATAATATATATAATATACAGTGTTTGTGTTACTGGTCCAGCACACACATTGTTGTACATGAACACTTATATCTTATATCTCATTATCTTAATGCCAATCAGCTTATTAATGAATCTAAATATTATATATATATATATAACAAAGTGAAACAGTTGTTTTGATAAAACAGCATTTTAATGAAGTACTGTAGTTTTAAAGAGATGTCCTGGTCTACAAACCCCCCTAAAAAATCATTTTAAAATTGTTTTAATTTAAATTTGTGGTGCAGAAATCATAATTTTCACACTAATCATGACTCAAATCACAATATCTGTCACAAAAATAACAATATTATGATATAAAGTGCATTTAATTCCTACAAGAATCAGTGATTTTACATTTATTGGTTAAAGAAAATGTGTTTCTGTGAGTCTGTGCGAAGGTCCAGTTTCTACTTTATCATTGTCTTCTTAGGAATCGATCAAACTCATTATAAACGGGTTCACCTCTTATTGAATCAGCCTCTGTCTCACTCTGTTGTTGTCAGATCTCCGAGCTTTGTCGCTATCAAAGCCCAGATAATCCGATTTAATGCCCTAACTCTGTTTGCAAATCTCGCCTCAGCAGCTTTAATCTCTGTAGGATTTAATTGAATCAACTCAGAGCGGATGAAGGAGCAGTAGTTCATCTTCATCAGGTGTTTGCGTTGGTTGTCGGCGGCGGTGGTGAAGCGTTACAGACCACAGCGGGTTTTATGGCAGATAAATTAGGTCACTGGAAAGAGTTGACAGACTTCAGATGTAGTAAATAAATAAATATGTGAGACTTTATCATCCGTTTGTGTCAGTTTGTGTGTGACTAAGTTATCTGTCATGTCTGTGAACCACCACTCCTTTTATTATCTGTTATATGTAGTCACCTTTAAAGCAAAGACAAGACAAAGACAGTACGTTCACTTCAAAATCCTGTCAGAGGTTTATGGAAACGTGTTAAGTCTCTATCTTTTCCACCAATAATCCTAATAATTAGTCATTTTTCAAACATAAATGCCAAAGAGTCACTGGTTCCAGGATATCTGGGACTGTCTTGATTAGATTTTGAACAATCAAACAATTAGTGGTCAATGAAAATGATCCGAGGTGGTGAGATAAAGACGCGTCGTCTCTTCTCATGATCAATGCAGCTCGTGGCCGACTGCTGAAACAGTAGACACGCTCATTAGATATAAATGGCCCTCTGCTCTTTCCCTCCAAAGGTTAATGTTTTAATTAAAATGTATACATGTTTCATGACATTAGCGGATGCCTCCGACCCCATCGTACTTCTGACAGTCGGGGTGTCGGAGAGGAAGAAGAGGAAGATGTAATGTCTGTAAAGTGATCATTTGAAGTGCACTCCATACGCACTGTGTCCCAACCAGACAGCACGTACCGGTACGTTGGCAGTCAGTGAATATCCTGCTGCTACAGTTTCAGGCTACAACCAGCTCGACTTGCTCGTCAGTTCCCAGCCAGCTAAATCCTTTCACGCTTGGAGACGGGAGTCGGGGACTGGTTTCAGGTTAAACAGCGGAGCACAGCTGAGTCACATGTTTTCTATCAGAGGTGATAAAACTGTTGCTTTGATACTGAAAACCTGTGTTGGGTTACGTCTTTACACACAGAAAATCTATCAGGAATCGATAAAGAATCAGACCGATAAGAAGAATCAATAATGGAATTGGTAACTTATTGGTTGCCGTGTCCATTTGTGCTGTTACACATATGAGAAATGATATAATGTGTGTGTGTATATGTATATACATTAAATGTGTTGAAATTAATCGTTTTTATTAGAAAGTTAGACTCAAGACAGGCGACGTGTTCAAAACCAGATCAGAAATCCATGAAAATCATTGTAATGACACAAAAACAAGGTATTCCTCAGGATGAAATGTGTTTGACACGAAGGTCATTAAGAGAGCTGCACTTTCACTTTATTGTTCTCAGTTTGTTTGTCGCTCAGTTTGGTCGGAGTCTGTGTGACAGAATAGGAACTGAAGAGTTCCCATTCGGTCCACTTATCAGCTGGATGCCGGTAAAACACACACTGCTGTCTGTTATCACGTCCACTCACTCATCCACTGTTTCCTCCTGAAGCTGAGGGAGGACTTATAGATCGTTATAGACCTTTATATTGAGGACAGAACGGGATATTTTATATCTTTTATACCTCTACAGCTTCCTATTAAACCAAAATGATGAATTTTAATCATCCTTTAAGTAATATTTGGAATATAAACACTAGTTCTGCTGTTTGGGGAGTGTTAAACATTTAAATTATTTAGATTTAATGATTAATATAAAGTTAAATAGCTGCCTCTTCAACCCCTCACTGATCCATATCTCATCGTATTATAAGCAGTATGAGTCAGATCAGTGGAGTTGTGACAGGATTCGTAGACGTAAAATAGAAAGAACTTTAAACAGAAACAAGAAAAACATAGGATATTTTATATTTAGTAGTGCAAACATTTGGAGTCCTGTACTTTAAGCCACAGCAGATACACACATACATTTATAGTAAAGTTTACAGAGTTCACTCGAAATACAGATTATGGGGTTGCTACGGTACATTAGCATTTCAGTGCTCAGCTCTGTGTTCCTTCGGTGGTTTGTGGTTTGAGGTTGATGCTGTCGAGTTTGGCCGTGCAGGGTGGAGTGTAACATTGTGCCGGAGGCTTTAAAACGCAGTCGTATTGACAACAGACCATCGGACACACACACACAGAGAGGTTGCAGTTGTGTTTCAGACCATTAGAAAGGCAGAGGGTACCGTCCTCATGCAGCTCATTAAACTCATAACAGAGCTTAGTACTACATTGTTTTAAAACACCAATAACAATCAGTTACTGCACATTTACAAAAATTAAACCGTATACCGTAAAACTTCTAATAATAGCCCGGGCGTTTATTTGTTTAAATCGCTGAACTCCCCCTGCCTTTATTTGGGACAGGCCTCTATTTGGGACAGGCGTTTAATTCCTTTAAAACCTCAACTGCTGCTTCTCTTGAGTTTTTGTTCAGCAAATTTGACAACTAACATGATGATTATGATGCTTCAGAGGTTGTTTTCTTTCTCTCTTGTTTACCGTGTTACCGGTAATTCAGGCTTTTAAAAGAGACCTGCGTCTATTAGGGACCCTGCTTTTATTGGAAGTTTTTAGGGTATTATGTTTTCAGTCTGCGGTTTAAAGGACAATTTCACACATGGAAGTCTGTTTACGGGTGTTTTGGTAGAACTACGGCACACGTGGGAAAGGCTGTACGGGTGTTTTGTGTCTCCAGGTGGAGCTGTGTGAAGTCTGTATGTATATTGACTCAAGTGATGTCACTTGTTGTGTCAGTGTGATGGTTTTAGAAGTGAAATGTTAAATCAGTTCCAACATGCAGCTCTAATAGCTCCCAGATATCTTTTCTTCTAATTACTCAGCAGTCAACAGATGGTAGTTTATCTGCCCAGAGGTTATCTGCCACTCCCATTGTAACGCTACTGTAGTCGAAGCATGACGGCAACGTTTAGTTCAGCTCTGACTCAGATCTGATCTGACAGATAATAACATAACCTCATATGGGATGTGGAAGCTTCATATATGTACAATATGTACACGTATATACAGTTTACAGTTCTGTTAGAATAAAGCTGGAATATATTAGTATAATAACCCTCGTGGGAGGTCCTGGGGGGGCAAAGACGTGTATTTATATCTAATCAGATGAACTCAGGCAGACAGTTGAGATTAAACTTGTGCGAGTGGAGCAGCAGCAGTTTGGTTTTGTGTCTTTGATTTAACTTTTTACTTTTATATTTCTGTCTTCCTGTAGTCGTCCTAAGAAAGTCTCGTCACAAGCTGCATCTGAGACGTGTTTGGATCTATTTTTGTTTGTATGCTGAGACTATTTGTGTCTGATTTTATCACATAGTGCTCAGTGCTCGCGCTCCAGGAGAGAGCAGAGGTGGACGGCTGCACACAAAAGGAGGAAGAATTAAATATTCTGATGTTTTCTGATTTATTAAGTTGGCACTTCCTGAATATATACAGATGAATAATGTTTGAAAACAAGAACAGCTCTTTCTCTTACAGTCTTAGAGCCCTGAAGAGTGAATAGATTTCTAATAAATACAGCAACTTCTGGTTTACGTCCCCACGCACATCTGAGTCGAGCCCCACCCATTCTGAGTACAGATAGTAGACCAGATGATGTAGTTGGTTGAACAGATACAGGCAATAGTCTACTCACTCATCCCAGGAACTCACCTGCATTCATTTAGGCCATTTTTAAAAACTTCTCAAGATTTTCTGCATTTCAAACTGATTATTTTGGGGTTTTTTTATTGTTTCTCAGACATTTTATTGACCAAAATACTAATAAATGAAGCCAGGAAGTTGTTGGTGGATGAATATATAATGAAACCGGCTGTTAGTTTGCAGCTCTACCCTGAAATATTCACACTGAGCAGTTTAAATTTCCTTCCTTTCTTTGCCTCCACCACCTACATCTGTGTCTCTGTGTGTCGTTGCAGACAGCTGAAGAAGCTGAGCGAGGACAGTCTCACCAAGCAGCCGGAGGAAGTCTTTGATGTCCTGGAGAAGCTGGGTGAAGGGTGAGTCATAAAGTCAGTAAAGTCAGTCAGACACTGAGTGACACAGACCAACCCCGCCCCCCTCCGTCCTGATGGATGTGCTGTATTTCCTCATTAAAAGGGATCTTAGTGTTAGTGTTAATCAACCTTTATTTCCTCTTTTTTCTCTCTCTCTCTCTCCCATACTTTCTTAACGTTGCTCGTTCTCTCTATCTCTCGATCTCTTCTCCCTCTTTGTTCAGCTCTGGTGCCCGTCAACATAAACATTGCCTCTTCATATCCTGTTTCTCAACGCGCTTCCTGTTCTTAGCGGCTGATTGACGCTGTGGCTGCGTGTGTTACTGCTAAAACAACTAGCGCTGCTTATTGACCCTTTCTTTAACGCTCAACTCGTCCTCTGCGTGTATTGAGCCAATCGTTAGCCACACTGCTGTTAATGAGAGTTATATTCACACCATTAATGTTTAAAGTTGTTTATTGGATCCTTTTGAGGCCTTTTTCACTTCAGTTGGGCAGGTGAGAACAAACTGAAAAGGTGTGGAAGAATACAGAGTAATCCAGAGCAGCTACAGGAAAGGACACCTGAAGTGACAGATGTTGACAACTGATAGCCGTTAGTTCCTCGTGCTTAAAAAGCCGAGCATAACAGAATGAACTGAAGACAGTAGTGCTGACTGACAGCGATATCACACTGGTTTAATTAGAAATCATTGTATTAGACTGAATATTACTCAACCTTTTCCAACACCTACTGTTTGTTATTTGTAAAGTTAAAACATGAAATACTGTCTCACACGTTAGGGCTGAAAAATGTTCTAGTACCAAAAAAGTACGAGGTACTATCCACAACTTTTAATAGTGGGAAAACCCCAAAAGAGCTAGCTGTACGATGCAGTAGTGGATTCAGTGCTGTACTGCTGGTCCTGGGGTTTTTTATGGGAGTGGGGGGGCTGCCGCCTCAGTCAGAAAGTTGTGTAGGTTTTATTACAGTAATGAGTGAAGTAATATTTGATTCACCAGGGTTCATCCCCTCCGCTTAGGAACACTGTGTGTTTAAAACAATACAATACTGTCAGTCAGTAGTCTCAAAAGTACCAAAGCTTCTCATCATCTGTTCAGTTTAAAAAGGAGTAAACAGATTTATTTTCCCTTTTTGTGTGTGTGTGTGTGTGTGTATATATGTATATATATATATATATATAAAATGCTCACACTGTGGAGCAGAGTGTGTGTGACGCTGTCTGTCAGTCATACTCTCTCCTCTCAGACTCAGACTCAGGGCTTCACTATAATATTATGTAACACCGGTGATTCTCTGGTATTTGACAGATGATTTGGTCTTTTCCTGCAGCAGTGACGTAGAGAGACGCTTTAGATTCCTTAAACAGGTCAAACAAGCCGTCAGAAACTCGACCAACTAAACACTGACAAACGTTTCTCCTTTTATAAATAATATCTGCTGTTGTGTATTACGTAGACGTCTTCTAGTCCTTGAATTTAAAGCCATCTGACTCTTAAAAATGTAGTTTAAAAGATCTTATTGTTGGTTTTAGTCACATATTTGATCATGTGATTGCTGTCAGTGAATACGATTTAATGTAATTTAATTGGCTGCTAAAGTTTAACAATTAACAGTTGTTATAGTCTTTTGGTTTATTGATTGACATTCAGGTGTTTCCTTCTGCTTCCTGTCAGAAACATTCATCAGACTTCAGTCTGATATTGTTGTAATACTCTTACTATAGACTGACACGTGACCATTGATCTATCGGTGATAGTTTCATTCACATCTGACTCAAAGAACTAACACAGCATGTTAAATGTGTCTCTTTGTGTCCCTGCAGGTCGTACGGCTGTGTGTTTAAAGCCCATTATAAAGAGACCGGGGAGATTGTAGCCATAAAACAGGTTCCTGTGGAGTCTGATCTTCAGGAGATCATCAAGGAAATCTCCATTATGCAGCAGTGTAACAGGTACGCATTGTTTATGTGTTCTTCCATTGCTCTTTTCTGTGGGCAACCTCTGTTTAACTGCACATTTCACCCACTGTGGAAACATCAAACTGTCTCTTATCAGATTTTTTGGCAGACGGGGGGTTGTTCCCAGAAGAGAAGATCGCCCACTCGCCCAGACTAAATAGCTGTTTGTTTGTTACAAACACTTTTAGGGGTCAGCAGGTTTTTTATTGTAAACGTAACAAAGGAATCAGTAAAGATCCTCCAAACAACAGCAGAGATACTTTAAAGCTTTCACTTTTACTTTAAACCAGTTGGATTTGTTCACATAGTGCTGTGTGTGTTACTGTGTGTGTTACTGTGTGTGTTGCTGTGTGTGTTGCTGTGTGTGTTGCTGTGTGTGTTGCTGTGTGTGTTGCTGTGTGTGTTGCTGTGTGTGTTGCTGTGTGTGTTACTGTGTGTGTTGCTGTGTGTGCTGATGGTCGGTCTTACTAATGACCCGTGTGTGTGTGTGGATCTGTGAGTTTGTAGCTTCGCTGATTGTGATTTTAAAGTAAAACTGAAAGCTTGAAACAACAAATGAGCCTCATTTTATTGTTTGCTGAAACTTCACTGTTTCTTTATGACACTTACAAGAGGAACCATTGACAGTATATAATTAGTGGACAGAGCTTTCGGGTCTGTAAATTAAAGCCACTGCAGCTGCAACTTAAGCATACTTTGGCTGCAATAAAGAAGTGATAGTACTGAGTCTTCTGGAAAAATAAGCCAACTTCTGACTTGATTTATGAGCTCAGTAAACGGTTTCCTGATGAGTTTCTGGTGTCAGTCTCTAGTTTCAGTCTTCTTCCATACAGCATGATGTTCATTTAGTAACTGATGGTCCCATTTAGAGTAAAACAGACCATAAAGCAGGGTATGCTTTAGGGCCTTCAGATCAAACTGTCAAACTAGGCAGTGCTGATCAAATATGAATGAAGATTCTGTTCCTGTGTTGACTATTTCTCTCCTCGAGTGTTTTCAGGAACATATTTTAGTGTTTATCTCTAATACAAGAAAGTTTGACACCAGTTTTTTCCTGCTTCTAAATGTCAAAACCAGCGGAGCTCAACTCGCAGTGCGTCGCCCACCAGCTCCACGCTCTCGTTCAAATATGGTCATTTCTGGTCCACAAACCAAAGGGTGACAAACATTTAGATCCATTCTAAAATAAATAGTGAAGTAGTTAAATGTAATATGTTAAATATGGCTGACTGGCCGCCTTAGAATGAATGTGAACTGAAACAGGTTTTACTTGCTGTAATTGTTCGTCCTGTTCTCACTGGACATCCAAATACTTTCTATGCAACAAAAGGTTTATCTGAAGTAGTGTTGCTCTCGTCAACGAAGATTAAATAAATATTGTCGTCAACGAACCTTCATCACGTGACGGAGACGAGACGCAACGTAAATGGTGGTCATGTGACGAAGACTATAATCAAATATATAATGCAATATTGTTGACGAGTAAAAACGGGACTAAATGTGGTTTGCAAAATAAAAACTCTGCTAAAATATCTCTTCATTTTCGTTGACCAAAACGAGACGAGACGAAATGTTATAACGTTATTTCGTCTCTCTGTTATTATTATTTTGAAACATTACTGTTTCCTCAGTCTTGGTGCTGCATCAGCGCACTGCGCAGACGCAGGCGGCGTCACTTCCTCAATCCCCACTCGTGGCGTTATTTAGAAGATGCAGCTGCGGTGGGTTAACGTTAGTCAGACACACACATTTTATTTGCTCTTTTTTATTATGTTATTGTAGCTCGAGCATTCAAGCACCTTGTTTCTCTTTTAAGTTAAACTTGAATGTAATGTTAATTTTTTCTGGCATTGTCATTTGAAGCTATTTTATTTATTTATTTTATTTTATTTAAATGTATGTGTGTGAACTTCTTAGTACATGTTTGGTAGGTAAAATTAATATGTTGTAAATTCAATTCAGACCGTCTTCCGTGTCTGGAATTGAATGTATTCTTGAGTCTATAAGGTAACAATAATATAATAATAAGATAACCTTGTTTGACTTGTGAAATGGGTGACTTAAAGAAAATTTTAGTTTTGTCTATACTAGGTACTTGTATTATATTAACTGGGTTAAATAGAATTGCATTACTAAAAAGAGACTAAAATACAATTTAAAATAGTCTTGGATAATTCTGACTAAAATAAGACTAAAATGCTCAGACTTTTAGTCGACTGAAACTTTATTAGACTTAAAGTATAAACGTGACTAAAACTAATAAAAACTAAAATGACAGTTTGACACAAAGACTAGACTAAAACTAAAATTAAAACAGGCCGTCAAAAACAACACTAATGAAGATGATGATGAACACTTGATTTGGAAGATAAACTTCTACCAATTCACTTAAAGTAAACACGTATCTGAAACAAGCTCCAACTCGTACTTTTAAATGTCTTTGCCACAGCATTTTATTAAAGCAACAGTATGTAGGATTTAATGGTATGTAATGGTATCGTTATGGTGGCCACAAATCGCTCAGAAAAACAGTAGAAACATGTTCAGTAAACATGGCGGACTCCTTGAAAGGCGACCTTATTGTTGCTTTAATGATAAACTGGCGTTGAATGGGTGGATGAAAATGTTCTGTAATTAACCAACAAAAACAAACACTGAATTTTAAACTGGCTGGAATGAATAAAAAGTGACCGCAGTCTTCATCATCACTCATCCTCCTGAGTTTAACCTCTGTGTTCAGTCCCCATGTAGTGCGCTACTACGGCAGCTACTTCAAAAACAGTGACCTGTGGATCGTTATGGAGTATTGTGGAGCCGGATCGGTGTCTGATATCATCCGATTACGCAACAAGACGGTAATATAATACGCACACGCACACACACACACTTCATCACACAAACATTGAGTGTTTGGGTTTATGTGTAAGTGTTACTGCACTTAAGTGTGTGTTTATGTGTCTGCATGGAAAAAGAGGAAGACAGAAACAAACAGATGTTGAGTATTTTGATGTACTGACGATACTTTGATGTATATTTCATTATCTGTGTGTGTGTGTGTGTGTGTTGTAGCTAACAGAAGAGGAGATAGCCACCATCGTGCACTCCACTCTGAAGGGTCTGGAGTATCTTCACTTCATGAGAAAAATCCACAGAGACATCAAAGCAGGCAACATCCTGCTGAACTCGGAGGGCCAGGCCAAACTGGCCGACTTTGGGGTTGCCGGACAACTCACAGTGAGACAAAATTTAAAATAAATCTCTATTATATTTATTTATTTTGAGATCAAATACAAAGAAAAGAACAGTTCAAGAAAGCTAATGAGACACTAATCAGTATTAGAGCAGATTTTATTAAAAAGAACCAGTGTACACATTACACCCAAATAGCTCATAATGTGTATTATTGGAAGTTCAGTAGCAGCTCTTGAACTATAAACATGTTCTCTGTCTTTGTGTTCTTTCACTCAAAGATATCTTAGGTGGTTCTCCACAGTGAGACAATATTCAGTTCAGCTCAGTTTCAATTATCTCTCCCTCTCTTCCTCAGGACACCATGGCGAAGCGAAACACGGTCATCGGCACGCCGTTCTGGATGGCCCCGGAGGTCATACAGGAGATTGGCTACAACTGCGTGGCCGACATCTGGTCTCTGGGAATAACGGCTATAGAGATGGCGGAGGGGAAGCCGCCCTACGCTGACATACATCCCATGAGGGTGAGCGAGTTTGTACTCTGTGTGTGTGTGTGTGTGTGTGTGTGTGTGTGTGTGTGACTGAAAGAGCTCGTGTTAGAGTTTGAAGGTGAGAGGTAAAGTGAGAACGTACTGTAGGGAAGGAAGGAAGACATGTTGAGTATTTCTTTCTGCGTGAATAACTGAATTATGTTTCCTCTTCCAGGCCATCTTCATGATTCCCACCAACCCTCCCCCGACATTCAGGAACCCAGATCAGTGGTCTCCGTCATTTCGGGAATTTGTCACCCAGTGTTTGGTGAAAAATCCCGAAAACAGGGCGACTGCCACACAGCTGTTACAGGTAACATCGTGTCTTCACTGTAGTTAGGAGCCAGTAATTAATGAGGCTTCTGCAGCCAGTATGTTGTTTTGCTCGTAAGAAAAAGAGAAAATAAATTTAACCTTTCTCTCTCATTCTTTGTCTCTCTCTCTCTCTCTGTCAGCATCCATTCATCAAGTCAGCCAAGCCCAACTCCATCCTCAGAGCCCTGATCACAGACGCCATGGAGATCAAACTGAAGAGGCAAGAGGAGGCCGAGCAGAGAGAGCAGGATGCAGAAGATGAAGATAATTCGGTACTGAAAGGAATAATCATAAAATGATAATAAAATAGGAATAAAACTGATGAACGATGAAGGTGTTATCTCCTGTACTTTGATCTTAAAGAAAAATGTGCTGCCTCCCGCCTTAAAGGTCAGCAGAGTTTTGTTTTAATTCTTACAAAACAACTTCTGAGACTTAATACAAAAAGAAGCCAAATATAAAGACCAGATAATAAATGAAATGACTCTACATAACTCAGACTACAAATTAATAGCATAAAATTAAAGTTTTTGTTTTGTGACTTTTTGAGAGAAAATCTCGTTTAATGTGTCTGATGTTGTTTCCTTTATTGAACCAGGATAGTCAATTGAGAACCAATTCTTATTTACAATGATGACCTGGCCAAGAGGCATAAAGAAGAGTTTGTGGATGTGGCATCACCACATAATTAGTGCTTTACATGTGTTTCATGAGGCTTTTACCTTCTGTGTGTTTCAGGATGAGGATGAGGTGGACCAGGGGACGATGGTGCGAGCAGGAACAGACGACTCAGGGACCATCCGGGCCGCTGGTTCACTCAGTGGTACAGCACGGACTATGATCGAACACGAGGACACGGGGACCATGCAGTCACAACTGGGCACCATGGTCATCAACTCTGATGACGAGGACGAGGAAGAAGCTGGTACTATGAAAAGTAAGTAACCCTTTATAAGCACACTCACAATGTGTGTCAGCCACAGATGAATCCCCTACAGATGAACATGAGGATGAGGAATCGACTTCCAGTTAACTGATAAAAATGTAAGAGGAACCAGCTGATGAGGAACATGCTGACATTATTTTAAAACCAAGTTACTCTGTGGACACAAAGAGTAAATCTGTGTTTGAAACTCAAGGTCAGAAGATTTAAAGTAGTCTGAGATTGAGTTGTTAGGCCGTATTCAGATGGAATCAGGTGGTTGTGATGTTTAGCCTCAGGGTTGTGTGCGTTACGACTGTTCTGAGTTCTATTCTTATCAAACACGTTACTGAACGAGTGCTGCTGTTGTTGAGTACTGCTGAGTTGTTTATAACATTAGCCAACATTAAATGTTTCATTAGGATCCTTTTTTTTAACCAAACATGGAAAAACAAAGAGACACAGATTCTGGGAACAGTTTGTGATTTGGTCTGAATTCATCTTCCAAAAAGTTTATGTACTATCCACTAGAGGGCGCAGTGTGACCGTCACACTGAGGAGGGTTCCCTGACTAACCTGTGTGTGTGTGTGTGTGTGTGTGTGTGTGTGTGTGTGTGTGTGTGTGTGTGTGTGTGTGTGTGTGTGTGTGTGTGTGTGTGTGTGTGTGTGCGTGCACTTTATCATTTTGTACACTTGCTACATGCCAGGAAATGAACTTATTGATCCACCAGCAACTGCAGATAATAACTTCCAAAGTTCTTTCTGTTGACTATTTTTCAAATAGTAAAATAATGGTTTTCAGGATGGGCTGTACATTAGTGGTGAGTGGTCTTTGGTTTTTCTGGCTGTGTAACCAAGAGCGCTGTCAGGGGGGCGGCGTCCTTTGATGTGTGTACTTTAGTGGGGTTGAAGGCTCGTGAGCTCGACCTGTTGTTCCTCCCCAAATGTGAGTGCCAGAGCATTCACTGCAGAGTATCACTGTGAGTTACCACCCCACTTCTCATAAACAGTGGAGCGCTGTTAGTCATCAACCTGTAAGTCAGTAATTACTAAATTTACCACCAGGAACTCAAGTGGTTGATACCGCAGGCAAGTTCCATGATGGTAAAGTTTCAGTGAGTTTTTTGATTGATCCAGTTTCTGTGATGCATTTTTAAAATGAATGCAAACACTTGAATGACTTCACAAGTTGACTCTGAATGCCTGAATGCATCATTAAACAAGTGATCAGCTCAGTGTGGATTTTTGGCAGATTTCAGAAGAGGTTTCCCTGAATTTGGGCTCAGATATGAACTTATTTTAACCCTTGAAAGCAATTACTGAACAAATAGTGAACCAGATGTGGTCCTGAGAGCCCAAATGAGGAACAACTCCTTTTTAAAAATGTGGTGGCTGGCAGCGTAGACAAACTTATGTTAGGATCCGAGTTAATACAACAAATACATTACCTTCTGCTGCGCTGGGTCATTTATTGAGAGATATGTTGGTGCTGCTTCAGTCTGTTGGAGTCTGTTCGCAGTGTGGGAGTTGTGAGCGTTGGATGTATTGGGAGGCTTTTGGAAGGCAGTCTCAGTAAGAGTTGGACTCTGTTCATCAGTGCTGGCAGTCTGTGGGTGTGTTTTATGTGTTTGTGTTTATACGCAAAGAATTAACCCCAATGAGACACTACAGCACACTGAGTTTGAGAGAGTGTGTGTGTGTGTATTTTCCAGTAATGCACACTTGTTGTACTTTTGCTGTTGAAAACAAAACCAGTGTGAAAGTTTATGTCACAATATTAAACCTCCTACACCACATCCAGTGTTATTTATGTTTAAACCAGGGGGGTAGCAGTAAGTGGTGGTGAGTGGGGTAATCTCCCGCCCTGCAGCGTCCTCAGGAAACAGTCAAAACAGTCAGAAGTAATGGGGATTGAACCACAGTGTAATGAGCCCAACTTAAAGGTGGAATCAACACCTGGGTGATTAATAATGCTGATTTAAACAAACACACACGTACAAGATGGTGGATTACACGGAAAGACTAATGTACACACACTTGATATGTGAGATATTAAGCTGAATACAGTAGACATCCATACACACAATTTATAATCCGTTTAAAGTAAATATGAATATAAATTATTACAATTTCTGACAAAATTACACAATAAATTCACATAGAACATAAAAACTACAATAATTTAACACTAAATAATTACAGTACTTGCACCAATTCTGTTTGAGTTATTATAATATTTGTTAACCTGAAGAAAAGCTGCTGTCGTTATCATCAGTGGGTCTCTAAATGGAGAATCTTTATGACACGTCGCCCAGTCGCCAGGACCGGTGACACCCACACTGCCGGCTGACACAGGCAGTCGAGCACGTTGCATCCCGCTGCTTATCCCTTCCTTTTATTGCCTTTAATCGATAGTGACAGCTCAAGAGGGAGAGGGAGAGAGAGAGGGAGAGGGAGAGAGGGAGGAGAGAGAGGGAGAGAGGGAGAGAGGGAGAGAGAGAGAGAGGGGAGAGAGAGAGAGAGAGAGAGAGAGAGAGAGAGAGAGAGACACATAGCAAAGGGCCACAGGTCGGAGTCAAACCCAGAGCCGCTGCAGCAAGGACTCAGCCGTGGTCCATTTAGGGCACCTTGGCTCCCCTAGCTCGACATTCTGCTGCCGCAGCCATGTAGAGAGATTTGCTGTAATGTTAACTAGCGGTGATGTGGGCTGTGATGTCTCTTCTGGCTGTAACATCTGCACCAGAGAGCAGCTGTTTCAATACAGAGCTCTGGTACTGAAATGAGCCACCGACGTCTACGTAGTGACGTCGGTGGTACCCAACCCTAAACACAATCACCCAAGTCAGTTTCCTCGACACAAACACAGTGACTACTTATAAATGTCTGACACACATACTCATAAATACACGCCCACACACACGCACACACTGTCTCCTGTCTGATGTCTCACTATTGAGTTAGTATGGATCTCCACTGCTGGCAGTTCAAACCGCATTAACACAGGAACATTTAGAGTTCATAATTACATTAGTACCACAATACCCTTCAGTTGTGTGTTTGAGTGTGTGTTTCTCTGTCGTGTAATGGCTGAGTGTGTGTGTGTGTGTGTGTGTGTGTGTCCCTAACTAATGACCACAGTCTGATGCTGAAGGGGCCTTGAGGATTGAGATAAGACATTAGATCAGATATCGATCCTCCCTAATGGTACAGAATAATAAAAAGCCTTTTAATTTACACTGATTAGCCTCTAACCCTCACTCACTAGAATCCATGTTAGAAACCTCTCTTTCAGTTTCATGTCTCATTGTCTTCTGCAAGACTTCTCGAATGCAACCAACAAGACATTCAATTAAAAATCCACTACAAGGTACTTGTTGTTAAGAAATGTTATTGGCATACTTTGGGATTTCCTGGTGTATTTTCCCAACACATAAAATTAACTTAGATTATCTGACATTGATGTATTTCAAGCAGCTGCAGTAAAACGTGTTAAAGTTTTATAGTGCAGTGAAAATTAAATGAATCATATCACAATCGTAATATCTGTCACAGTAATCGCAATGTGATTGATTACCCACAGCTCTAGTTCCTGTGAATCTTTCCACAGTGATATATGGGCTTTTCCTGCCTTTGCATTACACTGTGGATCTTGTTTATGACGCCTCGGTTTCTTTCAGGTTTCTCCTCCACAAGCTTCCTCCCTCTCGTCTCTCCGTTTGTGGCGCAGCTCGCCTGCTATCATTAGCTAGTGCGCTAGCCACGCACGGCGAGTCACTTGAGCCAGTCCACAACAAAATGTAGATGCAGTTTTCTTCTCTTACTCTATCTGACACAAACACTGTGTGAACAACAGCTGGCAGTGAAGTGAGAGTTATTCAAACTTTCCATTTGTTGTTTGATATGCATGTAGATGGAATTACGTAAATGAATTATTTAAATTTTCCATCTCTCTGAGCCTGAACAATGTTCTCTAATCTTCAAATGCTTAAATGCTTTGCTCTACCTTCGCACTGTCCTAAGTGTTCTTATAACATAGAAGTATAAACACTTTACACATTATAGTTAGACAGATTGAATATCTCTCTGTACCTGCTCAGCTCTTACGTCTCTTACTTTATTAAAGTTTAATTTTGTTTTGGGGAAGGCGCAGATGGCAGCTCTCTCTGGAGTCCACTCTGGTTCGGCCTTTACTTTTAAGTTCAAACTGTGTAAAAGCTTTACTCTCCTAAACTTGTGGTTTATGTTCATCCTGGTTTAGAGGCTACAGAACAAAGCATTAACACTGCTGGAGTAAGAGACTTTAATCCTACTGAGCCCTGTACTAAAACGTGTCCGCTTCCTCATTTGTTTGCATAATTAAATCCCACCAAAACATGAGCCTGTTTCATCTGAGTCACTTGGGATGTCTTTCCTCTAAACCTGGAAAGTTCCACTAAAATAAAGCATCTCTTTAATTAAAGTAAACTCAACCATGTCCACTCCCCAACATCATATGACTGCTGTGAGGTGACGTCTGATCTGACTGGTCAGAACCGAGAGGACAGCAGAGGGAACAAATAATGGGCTCGTCAGTGGTTGACAAACAGTAATGACCAAAACATTTTTATTACTCATTTATTTATTTTTTGGTCCTTTTGAGTCTAATCAGCTGATCAGGCAGCCTTTCCAAACCTTTCACTACCGGTATGTGATGGTTCAGTAATATTATAATTAATTTCCCAACTGCAATAAAATATTTATGTTCCATGTTGCTTCCAGTAAAGAAACTCCCCTCGGTACCGTTCCTGCATCGTGCACTCTCAACCATCTGCTGTCAGAATGTGGAAAAAGGACGAAGGCCTAAATGAGATCTGTCAGATGGATGATTTCATTATATAAAAAAAAAGGCAAATGGGCGTGGCATTGGCTCTGCTGGTTTATCAATACATCGCAAATTTGAATCAACCTCTTAACTTTTGAAGCGTCATTCAGCTCCTCGCTCATCTTTTTGTCTGTCTGCCGTTCACTGATCAAAC